GTGTGGAGTGACGGGCAGGGCTTAGCACCCCATGCTCACCGATGCCCGGCACCCCTGGGAGCCTGCACCCATGGTCCCCCTCAACACTAGGCAGTGAAGTGGGACTGGCTCAGCATCTTTATCCCCATGTGTTTAGCAGCGCCCGGCGGTGGGGCTGGCCCATCGCCGTGAGTCCAAGGTGCCTCCAGCTGACTCCTGGTGGGCACTGGCAGCCCAAAGCTCCTGGGAGCAGAGCCTCTCTCCTTATGGTCCATCCTGCACCCCCAGGGGGCTGGGGGCTTCAGCAATGTCCACGGCCGTGGGGCGACCCAGGAGGCGTGGGGTCCTTGGGGGCCAGCAGTGGCATCAAGTCCCACGCGTGGGCGAGCGGGTTCAGGAAGCAGGGATCAGCCAGGGATCACTACAGGATCTGGGCCTCTATGGAGAGAGAGGGCAGGGGGTAGGGGGCGGCACTGACCTGGCCCCCTTCTCTGCACTCCCTCCCCTGCATTCCTCCCATTACCCGCCCTGCACCCTGACTCACTCGGCAGTGCCTTCAAGTGGGTGGCAGCAACCAAGAAGTTGTGGGGTTTGGTCTTGTCCTGGCCATGTTTCCTCACCCGGAGCCTGGGGACAGAGCAGCGGCAGCTGAGGATCCCGAGCAGCCCCCCTGGGCACTGGGACTGCCTGCATCCCTGGAGATTCTGCTCTGCATCTCCGGTGATTCTGCTCTGCATCTCCATCCAGCTGTGCCCAGCTGTGCCAGGACGAGCTGAGCCAAGCCCAGCCACTCCAGCAGGTCAGCTCCAGGGCTACAGCAGGAGCTGGTCACAAGACAGAGCAGGGCTGGGATGGGGACAGGGACCAAGAGCAGAGCCACAGAACGGCAAGGAGAGCCCAGCCATGACAGGATGAGAGGGGACCCAAGGACAGGACCAGCGTTCAGCGCCCAGATGCAGGACTCCCGGGGGGAAAATGCATATGGAGAGGTCTCTGTGCGCACTCCCCAGCAAGGCAGGAGCCTTTGGGGGTATGTTAGTAGCAGCATCATCTTTGGGGGATACAGAGAAAGGTCTCATGGGTGTGGGCTAATCAGAAAGACCCCAGGCAGGCTGGGCACTATTGAAGCTGGTGGGGTGTGCTGGGAAGAGGCATTGATGTGGCAGGGGGGGCAAGGGCAGCATAAACCTTATGGGGCTGGCGTCAAGCCTGTTTGGGCAGGGACTCCAGAGTAGGGCTGTAGGGACACGGGGCACTCCATGCCGAGGGTTTGGGGGCCAGCGTGGGATTGGGACAGCAATCATGCAGACCCCTCCCGCTCAAAACCCAACCTACCAGATGAGGATGGTGATGACAAGAACAGCAGCCAGTACAAAGAAGGCGAAGACCCCGAGGGACACCAGGACGGCCATCTTCTCCAGGGGGTCGCTGTGGTCTGGGACAGAAAGACTGTCACAGCTGAGGGATGCCACAGCCCCTGACACCCTGGGGACCCTATTGCAAGCTTCTGGACACCACAGCACAGCAGCCACACATGGGCATGGGGCAAGAGAACCTTCCCATTACCCTCAGCCACATGTGTGACCAGGCAGGCAGGGGCCTGCAAGCTGTCCCCACTCCTGCCCACCACTCCCAGCTCTACTCACTGATGGGCTCAGGGTTGGGAGCCTGGGAGGGCTCCTCGGCCAGGCTCTCTGGGCTGGTGTCAGTAGTGGTTTCTTCACTCGCCGTGGTGGCTGGTTCTGGAAGGACAGAGGGGATGGGAATCGCTCACCCAAAATCATGGGCAGCACCCCAGGGACCCACAGAGAGGAGCAAAGAAGGGTGTTCCTGTGCCCCAGGGGTCTCCTGAGCCCAAGGGTGCCCCAGGGTGTTACTGGTGCTCTGGGAACCCCACTCTGCTCTGAGGCTGTGGGGGACAATCCCCAAATGGCAGCAGCACGGCTGCAACCTGCTGTGGGGCTGCGACATGCTTTGCACCCTTGCAGCTCTGCTTCCCACCATGGATGGTGCACGGGACCAGTTTTTGGGTCGACTTTAAGGGATCCAAGGAGCTGAGACTTGCTCTAGGTCATATTTGGGGGAACGAGTGCTGTGGGCAAGGGGCTGGAGAGGGGCAACCCAGGGTGCTGGAGGGGGATTGGGGAGGGATGGCGCAACCCAGTAGGGATACTTGGGGCTGCAGCCTGTCCCCCTCGCACCTCTGACCGGCGTTGCTCGGGCCTCGGCGCTCCACTCGCTCCAGTTCCCCGCATCTAGGAAATCCTTGGCGCTGACTTGGACCACATGCTCCAGCCCAGCAAAGGCATCCGTGATCACCTCAGACAGGTTCACCGTCTCCACCTGCACCGGGCAGAGGGGAGCTGTAGGGCAGGCGGAGGCATCCCTTGCTGCCCTCCCTGGCCCTGCACCCACCCTGGCTTTGCCTTTCCTTGCCCACTGCTTACCACGGACCAGAAGCGGTGGATGATGGGCCGGTACTGGAGCCGAAACCTGAGCTGGAAGTGGGGTTCCTTGGGCCAGGAGGAGGGATACTTCCAGCTCACATGGAGCCGCCGTGGGGCCAGGGGTATGGGCTCCACCACCAAGCCCTCTGGAGGGTCCGGCTTAACTGCGTGGGAGAGGACAGGGAGTCCTTGTCACACCGGACTGCCATGCAGAGTTCCCTGGGTTCCCTGCTGCCACCCAGGGCTGGATGCCTGGGGGATGAATGGACACTGGGACGGACCAACAGATGGATGGGCACTCACTGATGGCCTGCATGGTGACATCGAGGAGGCGGAAGCTGGAGCCCAGGGGGTTCACCTCGGTGATATTCAGGCGGTAGGAGCTCCAGAACTCTGACCCGTGGACGGTGCAGGTGCCGGGGTGAGAAGGATCCTGCAGGCATGGCCCCACGTGCCCGTTCTTGTTCCTGCAGATGGGGAGGCAGGGTAGCGACATGTCCCTCCCGCCCACCGTGCGCATTTCCCTGGTGCTGCCAAGGAGAGGCCATGTGAGGAGAGCCCCATGTCAAGAGCCTGGTGGAGGAGGCAACCCCTGTCACGGTTCAGCTGCCCACACCCCTCCAGAGCATGACCGAAGGGACCCCCATCCCAGCCCCACAGTCCCTCCTGGGAAGGTCCCTCCTTGGGACAAACCTGTCCCCCAGGCCCCCAGGCTTAGGTAGCTGGCTCCCCCATGGGGACCCCCAGGCCTCACTTTGGGGACCCTGCTGAGGACAGTGGCAGAGCCTTTGGGACAGGGGCCAGTCCCCGGGGAGCAGGACTGGAGTGGGAGTCAGTCCTACCTCCGCTTCTCTTCGCCCGTCAGCAATTTCTTCCTGCCACAGAGAGAGACAGAAAAGCAGACGGTGAGGATGAGGGGACAGCGTGCAGACAACTCCACCATGACCCAGAAGAGGGACAGGGGTCTCTCCACTGCAGAGCAGATCCCCCACTCCCACATTGATGCACACAGGCAACACGACATGGGGGTAGAGCTAAAACCGTGCCCACCCCTGCCAGCATCAGCCTGGCAGATGGAGCTGGGGTTCCCAGGGCAACGAGATGGTGGGGTGCCCAGGAGGGTCTTCCCTGGAGGACATCCCTCCCCTGCCTGGAGTTTCATCATGCAGCAGCAGCAAAGGTATGGAAACACTATAGAAGCAGCTCCCCAGTAGCTGGCTTTGGCCTCCCCCTACAGCCCCCAAATCCCCCACTGAGCCCCTGATGCTCCACACAGCCCCCTCCCTGCCAAGCCCCCCAGCCCCTGGCTCCTGCAGCTTTCAGCAGGGCTGCGCTTTATGAGCTCCGGCTGACTTCAAAGCAACCCGCTAATTTGGCCTGCTGGGATAATTAGAAGCAGCGATGCTGTCAGGGCTCCTTTCATCCCAGAGCATGCCGAAGCGGTCGGCGGCTTGCAGATGTCCTGTTTCTTTTTTATAGCCCCTCTAGTGCTGGCAGAGCTGCTGGCGGGGAGGGAGCTTGCCTGTGCTGGCCCCCCAACACTGCTGGGGGGTCCCCCTTGGAGCAAGCAAATGCTTGGTGCTCTGCTCACCACCAAAACATGACCAGGGTGCAGCATGGTCCTTGCGGCAGGAGGTGAACCCAGGGTGTGGGCTGGATGACCAGCAGGATTTGGTGGTTATCCTTGACTGGGACCCAAGGCTCACCCCGTAAACCCCCCAGCCCGTGCCCTGTAGGGATACATCACCTGTAGGTGGTGATGTATCTGGTGGGGAGGAAGGTCTCCACACTGGAGGTCCAGGAGCAGGAGAAATTCTCGTAGTCGGATGCTCTGCAGGATACAAAGGGGACTCCCGGCAGGTCTACGGTCCAGAAGGAAGCCACAGTAAGCAAGGGGTCCCCCATCCTGCAGCCTAGCTGGCATGCAAGGACCCCTGTGTCACCACAAAGTCCCCTCTTGGCAAAGCCCTGCCAGGGGTGTGGGCACTGCAGGCCCATCCCGGTGGGGCCACACACCTCCTGTACCCCAGCCCGTGGACACGCTACTCACACCCCAGCCGCAGGGACACGGCATGCAGGAGGCCACCATCCTCGCTGTGGCAGCTGTAGGTTCCCGCGGTGGCCAAGCTGGCATGTGGCAGCACCAGGGCTCCCTGTTGGGCGGCTGCACCCTCCGGCAGCACCGCGGCACCTGCCCGTCTCCATTGCACCGGTGAGCTGGGGAGGAGAAACCGGGCAGGTGGCATTAGAAGATGGGTACAGCGGGGTCACCCCAGGCCTGCCCTGTAAACCACCTCATCAGACAAATCCCCTGGTTTGCATGGAAAAGACCTACCCGGTGTGGGCACCGGCGCACGACAGGGTCACGTCTGTCCCCACCTGTCCGTACTGCACACCTGGAGGGACACACACATCCCCAGATGGGTGTTAGCACCCTGTGCCACCCCATGCCAGGGCAGGGGATCAAGGTGGGCAGCTTGGAGCTGTATTGCCTTGGGAAGCTGGGTGCTGGCTG